GTAAATACAACCTCCAACGTACAGAAAGCGTTTCTCCACTCAGCATCATGAAAACGGATCTAAAGCTGTGAGACTGATGGATTCAGCAGGCAGAAACACTTTGGTTACAGCGCCCCCATGTGGCAGAGTGGGGCCATATTTTCTCCATGTGTGATGACTGAGGAGAGAGTGAAGTCTGATGTGTCTAAGATTTATCACTCCGTGGTAAATGAGGAGACGTCAACAACAACAAGTCAAACAGAACAACAACAGGAGTTTGGTCCTTCAGCTTTAAACCTGTGCTTTTATTTCATCTTCCCGTCGACCGGGACGCTTTTGTCCGCTCTGCTTTGACTGGTTATAAAACAGGAAGTATAAATTAACAGCTTTTTAGCCAACTTCATTCCAGCTCATCAGCACGAGTTTTACTCTTCTTTTTGGTCAGCAGAGCTCATTTACATGAAACTCCAGCTGGTGTTCAGCAGAATCAGCAGAGTGAGGAGTTCTTCTGGATCATCACAGACTGGTATATGTCAGATATTAACCAGGATGTTCCCAAGTCACAGCTGACTGAAGCTCTTTTACTCACTGAACACAGAGAACAGTTTGAACTCTGTCTCCATGAGCTGTCGGCCTGTTGGGTTAAATAATAATAATAATGTCTTTTGGCTGAGAACGTCCTGCTGTTCTGGTTTTCTGTTGGCTTCTGGCACACAGCCACACACTGTTAGAGAACCTGTTGGTTTTATTGTCTTTATTAATCTGAGGGCTCCTGCCTGAACACCAGGGAGCGGCTCTGTCCTGCTTCATTACTACACTTAGAATAGATCAGACACAGTCAGCTGGGACTTCTGTTTTAATGGGCCCCGGGCCCTCTCTGGTAAGAACAGGTGGCCCTTGAAGCAGGACGGGTTGAGAACCTCGGATATGTTTAGTAAGAGAACATGTTGTAGTGTGAACAGGAAGTCCAACCTTTGATGGTAACATAATAGTGCTCAGCAGAGACTGCAGACTCCGGCATCATGGCCTTCTTCAGGCTGTCCTTGGATTGGACACATTACTGTCACCAGGTAAGGACAGGTAATTACTCCTGTTCATCCTGATCTGTCCTATCAGTGATCAGGGATCAGTGAGCAGCATGTTGTTAGTGTTCCTGTTGTCACATCCCGGCTCACAGAACGTGACACACTGCCAGCACTCATTATAAATTATTATTACACTAGGGCCTATATCTTTCCTGCTAATTACCTCTCTTAATAAGCTACTGTATCATACTGTAGATATCCACATTTATTAGTATATTCAATGGTTTGTATAGGTCTACTTTATAATATTTTCTACTCACTAACTTCAACTAGGCCTACCTATTATTTCTATTCCTTTTATGCCTTGCGAGTATCTGCAACAAAGAATTCACTCTCGTAGATCAATAAAGTATTCCGACTGTGAAAATGGATAGGGTAGTGTTTAAGACATATGCCTTTAGTGTTAGAGATGTGGGTTCTATTCCCACTGTGATACATGTGACCCTGAGCAAGACACTTATCCCCAAGGTGTGCCCTCTGACACAGCAATTGTGATTCCCTTTTGAGAAAAGCGTCGGCTAAATGAGTGATTACTTATGAAACAACACACAGATGTGTTTTATTTAAACACACTTTTATTACAATCCCCATCTGCTGTCTCTGACAATCTGAAGACATTTGTTTATTGTATGGTGATTACTCCGAAGTCCTGTCGGTCATGTATTGATAAGACGTTTAGAATTGTAAACGCAGGTCAGTCATTGTTTCAATGAAACCCCTACCAAGATATGGCAGTATCAAAAGTGACCAGTAGGTGTCACCATGGAGACGGGTGTCGAAGTGCTTCTAACATTTCAATGTTTCACAAAGCCTCGCTTTGCCCATCACTAGTAGATACTAACCTTCTCCTGTTAAAGAAAGACCTGATCCACAACAAAACCACGTCTCTGCTCTGATGGACAAGAGGAACTGGCAGAAGTGTGTTTCATGTCATCTGTTATATTGATTATTGTGAAATTATTCTAATTAATGCAGTTTCATGTGATCTGATTTGAAGCGACATCATGAGGAAGAAGAAATGCAGTTTAAATCCTTTTTATTTCTTTATTGTTTCATTATTATACTGATAAAAAGTTGGACTGACTTCAGTGTTTAAGGTGTGATAGCCGCATTAGCAGCCACACATGGAAACAACAACTCACGGTGGTAACTCTTTCTTTTGTTTTGAGCACATTACATATTATACAAAATAAATAACTTGACACACTTTAGTTTTAAAAACAGTTTTATAATTTGTTTGACTTAGTTTTCTATTTGGGTGCACACATTTAGTTAACTTTGTCAATTTAGTTAATTTCAGGTTCAGGTGCATTATCTTTAAGTTGTGTTCTGTGAAATTAATACCTTTCTAAGTTACCACTTCCTGGGGAGTTGCTACTGGCGGTCTCTGGCTGGCTGACAGACAAAAGGATTTCCAACTTTCTCTAAGTTGTTGAAGTAGGGGAATGGATAATTGGACTGACATGTTTTCCCATATCAGAGTGTTCCACTTTTGAGATGTGTTCTTTTCTTTGCTAGTTATACTTTGTTGTTATGATTATTTGATTGATTTACCCTTCGTTTATATTAGCATTGGCTTAACATTTTTGTAGTTATTGTGGTTTGTTAATATACACTGCTCAAAAAAATAAAGGGAACACTAAAATAACGCATCCTAGATCTGAAAGAATGAAATAATCTCATTAAATACTCCTTTCTTTACATAGTTAAATGTGCTGACAACAAAATTTCAATGGAAATCAAATTTATTAACCCATGGAGGTCTGGATTTGGAGTCACACTCAAAATCAAAGTGGAAAACACTACAGGCCGATCCAACTTTGATGTAATGTCCTTAAAACAAGTCAAAATGAGGCTCAGTAGTGTGTGTGGCCTCCACGTGCCTGTATGACCTCCCTACAACGCCTGGGCTCCTGGTGAGGTGGCGGATGGTCTCCTGAGGGATCTCCTCCCAGACCTGGACTAAAGCATCCGCCAACTGCTGGACAGTCTGTGGTGCAACGTGGCGTTGGTGGATGGAGAGAGACATGATGTCCCAGATGTGCTCAATTGGATTCAGGTCTGGGGAACGGCGGGCCGGTCCATAGCATCAATGCCTTCCTCTTGCAGGAACTGCTGACACACTCCAGCCACATGAGGTCTAGCATTGTCTTGCATTAGGAGGAACCCAGGGCCAACCGCACCAGCATATGGTCTCACAAGGGGTCTGAGGATCTCATCTCGGTATCTAATGGCAGTCAGGCTACCTCTGGCGAGCACATGGAGGGCTGTGCGGCCCCCCAAAGAAATGCCACCCACACCATTACTGACCCACCGCCAAACCGGTCATGCTGGAGGATGTTGCAGGCAGCAGAACGTTCTCCATGGCGTCTCCAGACTCTGTCACGTCTGTCACATGTGCTCAGTGTGAACCTGCTTTCATCTGTGAAGAGCACAGGGCGCCAGTGGCGAATTTGCCAATCTTGGTGTTCTCTGGCAAATGCCAAACGTCCCCCACCTGTGGACGTCGGGCCCTCATACCACCCTCATGGAGTCTGTTTCTGACTGTTTGAGCAGACACATGCACATTTGTGGCCTGTTGGAGGTCATTTTGCAGGGCTCTGGCAGTGCTCCTCCGGCTCCTCCTTGCACAAAGGCGGAGGTCCTGCTGCTGGGTTGTTGCCCTCCTACGGCCTCCTCCACGTCTCCTGATGTACTGGCCTGTCTCCTGATAGTGCCTCATGCTCTGGACACTACGCTGACAGACACAGCAAACCTTCTTGCCACAGCTCGCATTGATGTGCCATCCTGGATGAGCTGCACTACCTGAGCCACTTGTGTGGTTTGTAGACTCCGTCTCATGCTACCACTAGAGTGAAAGCACCGCCAGCATTTAAAAGTGACCAAAACATCAGCCAGGAAGCACAGGAACTGAGAAGTGGTCTGTGGTCTCCACCTGCAGAACCACTCCTTTATTTGGGGGGTCTTGCTAATTGCTTATAATTTCCACCTGTTGTCTTTTCCATTTGCACAACAGCATGTGAAATTGATTGTCAATCAGTGTTGCTTCCTAAGTGGACAGTTTGATTTCACAGGAGTGTGACTGACTTGGAGTTACATTGTGTTGTTTAAGTGTTCCCTTCATTTTTTTGTCTACCCCCTTTTTGTCAGAATGGCCTGATCAGCCACTATATAAGTCTCAGTCTTGTTAGGTCTGTTTAGTTCAGCTTATTTTAAGGTTATGTTACCTGAGTTAAGTTCTGTTTAGTTGACCTCTTTTATGGCGCAAGAATTTTCTTTCTGACTCCTCATGCCTGACAGCTTGGTCCCTCACAAATGGCATAAATCTCTGTCAACTGTTTGTGTCTCTGGCATTAAAATGTTTTCTTGAAATGAATGAAAGTGAACAAAAAGCTTGTGTTTCCTGACGGCTTCAGTCATTTAGAGATTGATAAAGAAGTTTAGTTCTTGTGCAGATAATCAACAGGACTGAAGGTTCAGCTTTCTGTCTGTCAGTCTGAGACAGAAACTGGACCAACAGCTCTGACAAACATGAGGAAGCTGAAGCTCCTCCTCTTTCCTCAGAAGAGATCTGTGGTGATCTGGACTCATTCCAGAGAGCTGCTTTAACAAAGTCTGAACCTGAACTCTGAGCTGACAAACTCACAGTTTCACTTCCCAACAGCTGATCACAATCACTTCATCCACTCTGAGGATTAAAGTGAAAAACCATCATCAGTGGACGGAGAGACAGAGTCTGGCCCAGCTGCCTTCTGTCTCCTGAACAGTCTGTGAACGTCCCCCTCCAGGATGGACAGAGGTGTCCAGGTGGTGGGTGAGGAGGAGGGGCCTAACAGCAGCATGCTAGCTGCTAGCAGGTGTGTTAGCAGTTAGCTCAGCAGCCACACCTGTCTGTCACAGTAATGTTTGTGTGAAAGCTGCTCAGCCTGTTTCTTCACATTCCAGCAGCTGCTTCAGTGGAAACAGTTTAAAGTGAAACTCCAGTTTTCTCCTCACAGAGTCATTATCAGGAGGAGGAAAGGGACAGCTGGCTGTGAACTGATGTCCTCACTGGGTTTCTGAAGACTTCCTTTAGTGAGAAGCAGATTAACTTTGTGCTTGTTGGAGTTTCTACAGGAAGATGAAGATGTTTGTGGTGTTTGTGATCCTCGTGCACGGTAAGATAACCTTCCTCCCTCTGATCTGATCATCACCTCAGTCCAACGTCACCTCTTTAATCTGTGGTTTCTGTCATCTTCACTTCATCAGTCTGTTTCAGCTCCATGACGATGTTTTCTTCAAATAACAACATGAACAACATATTAAAGGCAGCATGTTTTAATGTTTCTTTAAATCCTCATGAATGTAGAAGACGGTCCAGTCAGACTGTCCTCAGGTCTTCAGGATTATATCCCTGTAGGTTGCTCACAGTCTTCTAGGTTATATCACCAACAGTAACACTGATCCTCTGCTGACAGCAGCATCACATGTGGATCGTCTGTCTCATCTGTATGAAGTGTCTCCACGTGTCCATCAGTCCTGTCTTTTCCCTGAGTATTATGGACTCCCTCTGAAGACGTGATAGAGAGATGGAAGGAAGAGATGTGAGGAAAGAGGAGTTCAGACAGTTAACACACTCATTTTAACACCATGTTGAGTCAGAAAACAGAGTCCATCTAAACAGTGAGAGCAACATGACAGCTGAGGTGCTTCTGTTATTTGTCAGCTGCTGTTGGTTTTAAACTGTGCTGATGTGGTTTCACAGCAGCTGATCAGCTGCAGCGTCCAATCACAGACAGGACCAGGTTGGTTTCTGGGTCACCTGAGGATCCAGGAGGAATAAGACATGAAATAAGGCTGCTGTGATTGAACCTCTCTGTCTGTGTGACCTCACAGTTTCCCAGCATGCCTCAGCTGTGGAGCTGTATGAGGGGGAGGAGTTTGTCCTGCTGCCCTGTGAGTTTCCCACCTTTGACATGGACGACCCCACAGTGGTGTGGAGCCGCTACGATCTCGATCCTCCAACCGTCCACCAGCGTCAGCAGGAAGATGATGAACTTAAAGACCAAAACCAGCTTTACAGCGGCCGAACATCCATGATGACTGACGCTCTGGAAACTGGAGACCTCAGCCTCAAGCTGACAAAACTCCAGCTCTCTGACAGCGGCAGCTACACCTGCACCGTCAGAGTGTTTGGAGGACAACGGAGAGTGACAGAGATACAGCTGCAGGTCAAAGGTCAGCAACAAACCCTAACACCTGCTGTAGATACAGGTCAGAGGTCAGAGGTCATGTTCTTTATGTTTCTGGTTCCCACAGAACGATTTCCATCCTGGGCCAAAGTTCTCCTGGTTCTCCTGGTTCTCCTGGTTGTTGGTCTTGTTGCTGCTGGGGGTCTTCTGGTACATTTCCGGCAGTATTTCATGTCAGGTATGTCACTACTGCTACACCTCCAGCATATGAAGGTGTGATTGGAGCAGAACAGCTGAACACCTGTGACAGTGGAACCTGTAGATGTAGAAATTAGTCCCACATGTGTTTCAGTGATACTGAAGTCACAAGGAAACAAAAAGTTTTTCTCTCTCCACAAACACAACAGCTGCTCTTCTCAAGTTCTTCACTGCAGTTGCACAAATCCTGTTCTACGAATCCCAAATAAAGAAACCAGAAGTGGAAAGAGACCAAAATATTCTCCTGAAGTAAAAGTACGTTTTCTTTGATGGACTTTTACTTAAGGACAAATAAAGTTACTGGTATAAAAATCTATTCAAGTAAAAGTAAAAAGTAGCTCATTTACAATTTAGAGACATTTTATGTTTTTATGAGAAGTTTTTGCTTCATGATGAAACAGATCAGACTCTGGTGGGCCGCCCTGGACTGTATATAAAGTCATGTCTCTATTTACATTCAAACAGGTGGTAATTTTAATGGGACTTCAGGTGTTAGCATAATTAATTTTTTATTAACACAGGCCTAAGCATTATTAACTAGTTACCAGCAGGTTGCTAGTGCCAACCAGTATCAGTGATGTCTTTTTGGCTAATTTGAACAAAGCCTCTTACCAAACTATGGAAACGTATTTTACCAGCTACCTGTGGTCCAAGCAGGGTGTGAACTGCAGAGGAGCTCGACTCCTCTTAATAAGACACCACATGCTGCTGTTGCCATTAGTTTCTGTTTTTCTGTATCATCATGGATCATGTGTCTGATTTTACACATGATGATACTGCAGCAGGAGTTACAGTCAGTCTGTCTTTTAAACACACTGTGTGGATGGCAGATCACGGTTCAGATGAGGGTTTTCCAGAAACATATTTCCTAGAGAGTAAAGCTCTTCTTTACCCGTACCAAAGTGGGTTGCGTAGGGGTCAAATACAATGGATTCATCAGGAAAGCACAGACCAACAAAGAAATATTGATAGCTGTATTTTTTGGCGTTGAAAAAGCATTTGATATACTCTGGAAAGAAGGGTTATGTATTAAGTTGAAGTCATTGGGTATTGGTGGTAGAACATATAATTGGGTTATGAACTTTTTATTTGTTTCCTTATCCTTCAGTGGAACGCCAGAAGCCTGAATGCAAACGCACAAGAATTTAAGAGAAATGTGCAACAGCTAAATGTAAAGCCTGACGTTATCTGTATTCAAGAAACATGGCTGAAAGCACATCTGGATTTTAATATCAGAGGGTAGAAAGTTATAAGGCAGGATGGAGACAATGGTCAGGAGGGGATGTGCCCCCTTTATTAACGAAGGTATATCTCATGGGAGAATAGAAATGAACCACAGTACTGATTTAGAGGTAGTAGTTACTGAGATTTGGGTGAATAGTTTTTGTTAATTTGTATAATCCTTGTAAAAGAATGAAGATTTACAAGAGTTTGATCAAGGACACAAAATAATATGGTGTGGGGATTTTAACACTCATAATACGCTATGGGGAGGGGAAAATACAGATTATAATGGATTGATTATAGAGGAATTAATTGAGGATAAAGGTTTGGTTTGTTTAAATAATAAACAAGGTACAAGGGTCAATCTAAGTAATGGAGTAGAGTCAGCGTTAGATCTGACATTGGTGTCCAGTGAAGTAGCTAGTGGCAGTAAACGGGAGGTGTGAAGTGATAATAGTATTGGAAGTGACCATTATCCAATAGGAATTAATTTAGAGGAAAATATCATGATTGACCTTGATGGGGTTACAAGATGGAAGTAAAGCAGACTGGAGTAAATTTGCTTGTGATGAGGAGTTTAATAGGATCGACATGTCAGGGGAAGTGGATGAAACAAATGAAAGTATTATCAAAGCTATAGGAAAGAGTGCTGGTAAAAGGAAAGTTAAAATGGCACCATGGTGGAACAAAGAAAGTTCTGAAGCCATCAAACATAGAAATAAAACTTAGAGAACTGAAAGAATTCATTCAATGTTGAATTTAGTGGATTATTAAAGGGCTCAGGCAGCAGTAAGGAAAGTAATCAAAAGGACAAACAAGATGTGTTGGAGAGAATTCTGTTCAACTATTGGAAGAACAACCCCACTAGATAAAGTTTGGGGAATGATTAAAAGAAGGAGGGGAATCAGGCAAGATAAGGATCTTCCAGTGTTGAAGAAAAGGGAAGAAACTGCTTGTGAGAAGAAGAAAAGGCAGAAATGTTGGTAAAGAACTTTGTTAAAATTCATAGTTCAGATAATTTGACAGAAGAAGGTAAAATCAGAAGACGGCAAACATTAGCTAGATACCCGGAGGTACTCGAGAACAGAAACTCTAATCAGAGTCCTCTAGATGAGGCCTTTACCGTGCCTGAGGTGAGGAGGGCTCTGAGTAAGAGTAAAAGAACGACACCTGCTAAAGACAATATGAGCTTTACTATGATAGAACATTTAAATGCTTCTGCATTGGGTAAAGTACTGGAGTTATTGAACAAGGTTTGGGAGGAGGGGAAGCTTCCAGTAGGGTGGAAAGAAGCAATTATTATTCAGATTAAGAAACCTGGGAAAGATCCTACAGATCCTGATCATTACAGACCGACAGCTTTAACTTCACATGTGTGTAAAACCATGGAGAAAATGATTCCAGAAAGAATAACATACTACTTAGAAAGAAATGAGCTTCTTTCAGCACTTCAGAGTGGATTTAGAAGGGGGCGTAGTACTCTGGACCCTTTAATATGTTTGGAAACTGATGTTAGGAAAGCTCAAGCTAATAAAGAGGGGGTGCTAGCTGTTTTCTTTGATATAGAGAAGGCGCAGGAGGTCTTTTAATACAGCGAGATAAAATGGGTATTGGAGGTAAAATGTAGAACTGGATCAAAGGTTTCTTATCTGGTAGCTACATTCAGGTTTGTGTGGGGAACTCTACATCAGATACATTTTTAGTTGAAAACGGCAGCGCTCAGGGGAGCGTCATTAGTCCGCTACTGTTTTCAATCAGGATCAATGATGTTTATAAGAAGGTTCATCCAGACATTGGGAAATCACTTTCTGCTGATGATGGGGCAATTTGGAAACGAGGGAGGAATCTGGAGTATGTTGTAAAGAAAGTTCAGGAAGCTGTTAGTGTGGTTGAAGATTGGTCTTTGAATTGGAGATTTAAGTTTAATCAAACCATCTTTTTAAAAGAAAGGAAGTCAAAGAAGATATTTGTTTGAAATTGTCCAATCAAAGGTTAGAAAGAGTGGAAACCTTTAAATTCCTGCGGTTGTGGTTTGATATTGTTAGATCACTCCCCAGGGACACGTGTGGGCATGGTGCCTGCATGGCCCAGCGCTTCATGTACGGCCTGCACCATTTCCACCACGGACTCTTCTGGGACCACCCATCCTCTTGGTGTCACATCCCTCATCTCAATCCCGACGAAGACGATCCTCTTGTGTTGCACTGAGCACTCCACTTCATCACTTCCTCGCCAGTGATCTCCCTTTTTCCTATGGGCCTTCTGATGTACCACATCCGGGGGCACTTGGAATTCTGGATCCTCACTGCCGAGGCCTTCTGTTTCTTCTATCTCACCCAGCTGTTTTGGGTCATCTGCTGATGCCGCTGCCACCGCCATCTCTGTCGTCTTTGTCGTCTCGAGTCGTCCGTTCCTCAAAGCCTCCTTAGCGCTTCGATCAGGGATGAGTTGCAGACTGGTTGGCTATTCAGCGCCGCTCTGGGATGCAGCTTGACTGCTCCTCTCGGTCGCTCTCTCCCCCGCTTCTCCCTCTGGATCTCTGCGGGCGGGTGATGCTGCTTCCTCTAGCAGGTCACCAGGCAGCTCCGCTTTTCTGCAGGGCTGCCCCTCGAGTGTTCAGTCGGATGTCTCCTCCCGCTGGACTCCTCGCTCTGGCGCTTGGCAGATGTCTCTCTGCCGCACGCCTCTCTCTCTCGGGTGTTCCACACGAACGACGGTTGGTCTTTTCCGTCGGGGTTTCTGCTGTAGGCTCCACGAATCCTTTCGTCGAGCCCCACGTTGGGCGCCACGTGTTAGATCCCGAGTCACCCCTGTTCAGGAGGTACTGGACCAGCTCTCCGTCTTAAAGGGTCCGATCCTCTAGGCCTATGGGTATTACCCTAGTAGGTATGACTGAGGACTGTTTAAGCTGGTGTCGAAGAGATTCGCCTGGCTTCTCACAGTCTTCTTCCGAACCCCTACCCTGCTTACTCTGAGATAGCACCTGACTGAATAGCCCTAGAGCCAGATACCACCCCAGCCACGCCCGTTAACGACAGCTCTCTTCTCATTGATCAGTGCACTTGGTATGGTTGCCAGGTTGGTATTTAGTGGCCAGGAAAATAGGCCCCAAGGATAAGTTAATTTCAGTGGCTAGAGCAACCTATAAGAACCTCAAAGATGTTAAACACACTTTACCTAATTGATTACTACCTTAGTGAGGAAATAACTTCAATGTCGACTATCGTTCTTTAAATGCAGTGATTACAGTGGGTACGGAAAGTATTCAGACCCCTTTACTCTAGGAAGGGTTCTGGTCGTCCCAAACGTCTTCCATTTGAGGATTATGGAGGCCACTGTGCTCTTAGGAACCTTAAGTGCAGCAGAAATGTTTTTGTAACCTTGGCCAGATCTGTGCCTTGCCACAATTCTGTCTCTGAGCTCTTCAGGCAGTTCCTTTGACCTCATGATTCTCATTTGCTCTGACATGCACTGTGAGCTGTAAGGTCTTATATAGACAGGTGTGTGGCTTTCCTAATCAAGTCCAATCAGTATAATCAAACACAGCTGGACTCAAATGAAGGTGTAGAACCATCTCAAGGATGATCAGAAGAAACAGACAGCACCTGAGTTAAATATGAGTGTCACGGCAAAGGGTCTGAATACTTATGACCATGTGATATTTCAGTTTTTCTTTTTTAATAAATTTGCAAAAATTTCTACATTTCTGTTTTTTTCTGTCAAGATGGGGTGCTGAGTGTACATTACTGAGAAATAAAATGAACTTTTTTGATTTGTGGAAAATGGCTGCAATGAAACAAAGAGTGAAAAATTTAAAGGGGTCTGAATACTTTCCGTACCCACTGTATATATTTTATTGCATAAAGTTAGCAAGGGCAAGCATATAACTGAAATTGGTTAAAATGAGTAAAAATAATAAAACTGTTAAAATTGAAAACCTGATACGAATAGCTGAGCTTGAGTGTTTTTGGTTATCTTCTTTTTGGAGAGAAAGGGAGGGGAAGGAGTTGTCCTGGCCAAGGAGTTCTTTCCCTCTTCTGCGGGGTGATGACTCTGGTGGAAACCTGAGGCTTTGTCCAAAGCCCTCAAATT